ATAAACAAGTCTTGGAGGCAGCATTAAGCTCTTCTTCTTGTCTCTCCAGCAAAAAGTCTGCATGAGGTTTAGAGCATGTGCCCATGTACATCATGGGCCCCATTTAAGATTTTAGGACAGTGAGCAGGTTACGTTTCCCCTGCTTCATAGATCCTCTGGCACACGTTAGCCTCAAGCTTATGATTTTCTGCCCCAAATGCTCAACTTTCCCTGTCACTGTTAAAAATATACATTGACCTGCAAAGGCTGTCCTTGTAACAGCAACATACACAGTCACATCAGACTGGAATGATGTGGCCAAAGGGTAACCAGAAAACAGACACGTTATCAGACATAACCATTCAGCACAGTGGCCGCAAGGAGAGAGGTGGCCCTGAGTTCCCTGTAACCTTTGGAAGGGGGGAGAGAGGCAGTCAAGGAAGGCTAGTATGCACAAGAGGAAAAGTCCTGGCCTCAGTCTTCCGCAAGAAGACACACTCGCACACATCCTCCCATTACAAGGCTATCTATAGGAAAGGTCTGCTTGAAGTATGGCTTCGGGTAGCTAGTGGGCTAAGGTTCACCACTCTGCCTAGCACCTGCTGCACACAGTACTCCATAAATAATTGTGCACAGTAAATAGGCTTTACTAGGCTGCAGAGATGTCATTATTATTATTTTTTTTAAGATTTATTTATTTGTGCATACAGAACTGCAGTACAGGCCAGAGGTGCAGAGGCAGTGAGAGGCTTCACCAGAGACAGAGTGGGGAGCAGAACAGGCAGATCGACGAAGTACACTGCTGAGGGGAGCAGCGGGCAGGTCAGGAGAGGTCTGCCGCACCATGTGGGTCAACTTGGGGTGGGGATCAAACTCATGCTGAAGTGGATTTAGCTTCTTAGTGCTGTGCTTTAACCCGCTACACCACCAGGGAGGGCCTGAGATGTAATTATTTTAAAAGCTTTATCCTTAGCATCAGAGAACTCCTGGGCTGGTTCTGCCACTAATTAGTTATGGGAAAGTCACTGAATATCTGTGAGCTCTTGTTGGCTAACCTGTAGCACTCAGCCTCCCAGATGACTACCCAGCATAATGAAGAGAAAGTACACGGAAGACACCAGGCACACTGTCCAGTGGGCACACGACAGAAACGAAACGGATGACTCTTACTGACAACACGCAGAAGCCTATGGACCTGGTGGACTCTGATCACCACCTCACAAGAAACAAAAGTATAGCTCTCTTCCAAGAGGATCGATGGCTTGCTTAATATTTAAGAACAAATAAGCACGTAAGTTGGAACATGAACCCAGGTCAGATGAAGCCAAAGTCTGAGCTTTGACATGTAGAAATATTATCACAGAGATCAGATTCAACAGGATCTGAGAGAAAAAGTGGCATTTTTATGGCCAGAAGGAGAAGGGGATTGACCCATGACTCATCCATGTGTCAACTCCTAGATACTGAGAAGCTATATAAATCCTTTTCAGGCTCTGATCAAGGCAAGCACCGAGCACATGTTTATTTAGAAAGAACACTGAGCATTTTTTCCATATTGGAATCATTGCTCATGATAACCTTCACAGCGCAGTGCAAGCACACTGAGAGAAGGCGAGATAGGGATGGGACTTGACTGTTTGCTCCTAATCTCACTGCTGCTAGAGTCATTATGACTTTACAAGGCAGGCACAGAACCACTGCCTTGTGGATTTGGAAGGAATTTATATTATGCTATAATTCCAGAATCTGAGATACATCTGAAAAAGAGGTCAAGATGACTAGATTTTTCCATATCTCCTGCCACAGAAAGGTGTCTGCTTTCCCTATAATCTCTGCTGCTTTGCATCTCTAAATGGTGCTCTACACTCCACCGACATTCTAGTCCTTTGTTGTGGGGACTATTCAAACAGGAGTGAGGGTATCCACATCAGCCGAAGCTTCTCCAGCTTTAAACAAACCTGACATTCAGCAGAAGGCGGGAGCAGCAGGAAGAGATGATTAGCTGCAGCTCTGGGTACCCCTCCCAGACTGCCAGTCACACCCTCTGATCAGAAGCAGACTCTGGGCGGAGCCAGCCAGGTTCCCAAGACAGTCATAAGGCAAAGTGGAAAAGGTGTTGTTTACTTCAGCATGTAGCTTTTCCAGAATTGCACACAACAAAGCATGCCCTGCTTTTACTTTCTCCCATGAGTCTTGGTGGCGAGTGGCAGCTAAGTGGCAAGCTGGTTCACTAGGTGCTCACATCCCACACATCTCCAGCTGAAATGCAAGGCCAAAGGGATGTGGAAGGAACAATCCTCCTAGCAAGAACACAGGAGTAAGAGTCCAGAGATGTGGGTTCTAACTAAATAACTACAATGAAAGAGCAGATGACATGATGAGTCCAAAGGGTGGAGGGGTGGACTTTTTCCACTTCTGTTTTCCCAGATAGAAAGTCTCTGTTGATTGAAATAAAAAAATAATGAACATTCATTGAGTAGACTAAATGTGTCAGGCTGAGTTACTTTATATATGTTACCTCACTTAATTCTGGAAACTGTAGCAAGCAGATGTTGCTATCCCCACTTAATAGATGAGCCAGCTGAAGCTGAATGGGGCCAATTAATGGATGACGTGGCCCACAGCAGAGGACCTCAGGCAGCAACCAGGGCTTATGCCTTTAACACCACACTAAGAAGAACTTAGCTGTTGTGTTTTGGTGAGGGTGAAATGCTTCTACGTGGTCCTCATGTTTCTAAAGCACTCAGGAACACCTGACAAAGGACATCAATTATTATGCTATTTGCTTACCCAGTCTTTCTCGGAATTACAGGAAAGCACTATCCAAGCTATTTTGCTGACACCATATGGGGTGGGGAAGCCACGCTCATCTTATAACCAAGGCCATGGCACATGACTGTTTCAAGGAAACTTGAGAGGTCAGGGACCATTTTAATTAAAATATCAACATGACAGGAGACAGGCAAGCCATGTAGGCTCTTAAAGGCAGGTTTTTCTTAGAAATGCCAGCATCTAGTAAGGAGGAAGAAGAGACTCTTACAAACATCAGGGAAAGAGCTGCTGACCAGGAGTTTTGTTGAGAACGGAAGAGAAACATGGACTTTAAAGAAGCCACACTAGCACTTTCCTCTGCCCTTCTTGAGACCAGGTCAGAAAAATAGGTCCTTGCCTATCTAAAAGACACAAACCCATCTAGACTACTGGTACAAAGTACATTCCCAAGAATGACAGCATTTTATTCTCATTGTGATTTCAAGCATCACTCTCATTTTACAGATGAGAAAAGGAGAGCAGGAAACCAGCGAACCATCTAACCCACAGAGTCAAGCAGTGGTCTTCTTCTGAAGAGTCCGAGCAGTGGCCAGGCAGTTGCACAGTGTCTGAGAGCAGCCCACCAGCAAGCTGGGAATACGCCCAGGTGGAGGGCACAAGAAACAGTGACATGCCCATCCCTGTGCTATTCTTATCTAAGCCACTCCCAGGTTTCCCCAAACCATTCAATTACCTGATCCTCCAGTTAACAGTGGAAGAAGACAAAAACACCTGTTCAAACCTATTAGCATAAGATACTGTGCAATTATTTGCCTTCCAGTCTAAACATCTTTCCTAGGCAAAGTCATTCCTAGTGTGTTCAACCCCACTGTCAATTAGAAGTAAAAATTAAAAATATATCTAAAACCAGATCTTATTACTTCTCAGTTTCTGAGCACAAAGATCCTTAGTCCACCTTTAAGAAATGACCCTAGTTGCCAAATGGCTTGTTTATCTTTAAAAGGTTGGAAAGAATTCTACTAGCCTCCCTCTCCCTCCCCATTTTCAAACTGTTGATTGTGTGCCTGGTTTATGATGCTATTAAAAAACAAAGAGGGGGTCTCAGAGTTTACAACTAACCCCCAGAGTGGGGAAGTCAAAAGAAAAACTTCATGGAAGGTGGCTCCTGTGCCATCAGCAGCTCGCGTTTGATCTGGAGCAGGCAAGATTAGCCAATTGCCTATCGCCTGGAGCAGGTCACGGGGCCAGGAAGGCAACTGCCAATCTGAAGTCAAGTCTGCAAGATGGAAAGAACACTTGAAAGAAGCCAGGTGTAGGCTTGAACCCCAGCTTTTACTAGCTGTAGACTTTAAAAATATCATTTAACCCCTTTGAGTCTCTGATTCTCCATCTGTACAATGGGAATGTTGTTATTTAGTGCTCCTTAATTTTAACTTCCTCTCTTCTGCCATGCTAATAAAGGTCCTGGTTTCTAGATGATGGCAAATACAAAGGTAACTTAAGGATTGGTGAGAAATAATATATGGTCTTGGTGAACACGATGTCTATCCCTTTTACCTACATGGCTCAAGTTAAAGGGCAAAGAGCAAACTGAGAAATGCTGGAGGTATGGAATGGACAGCTGTGAAAATAATGAGTCACAAATTACAAGACCGGATTACCCTCAATTACTGCTCCCCTCCCGTGCCCCAAATGGATGCATCTAAAACAGGGCAGTAAACTTCGAAGGGGGGTCCAGCTAGGCTAACCCCAATTTCCACGAGGCTCCATTGCACAGAATAATTCTGGACCTTGCCAAAGTCAATGACACATTTTGCTTTCTTAACATGGACTTCATCCTTTAAAGGAAGACATGGATGTAATCTGAACTTTACACCTGCATGAGGATACTCAGCAGTTCCAAGTTCGCAAGGTGGTTCCGTATTCATAATCTCTTTTTCTCTTCCCTGTAGTGCTGCGAAGCAGTATGGTCATCCTTGGTCCTCGAGTTATAAGGTTCATCAGTGGAGGGAGGGCCAGGTCTGGAACCCAGATCTCTGAATTCCAAGTCCTATCTTATTTCCACTCTGATACCACAGTGACTGGGAGAGAGAACTCAATAAGCCAGACCTCAGCCTCCCCACTATCACATCAGCATGGCCTTGCTCTGAAAAGCGCACTGAAAGCACCTATCTTCTTCCTCTGGGGCTCAGAACGCAGGCTCTGGGGAGGGAAAGTCAGACAGGCTGAGCCAGTAGCCTGGCACTTACCGCGAGGATGGCGATGACGATCCCCACGGCACAGAGCACAGCATCATTTATCGTTTCCCCGGTTTTCAGTGGATACTTGATGCTCTCATCATTGCAGTAAAACCCTCGCTCATAAGGCTTGATGGTGCTGGTCTCGATGATGATGAAGGGCAGGCCCGCTGGTCAAGACGGAACCATCACATATAACAGAAAGAAACAAGACAAAGGGGGAGACATCAATGCAAGGAAAGGAGGCCAAAGAAGTACAGCAAGGACCCCCCCACACACACACCCAAGCAACAACCCTGGTGTGACAGTACTTTCTTGTGCCTGCAGTCATCTATAGCCTACAAGGAATTCTCGCTGCGTGCAGCCCATCCCTGCCATCATCACCCCTCAGAAGATCTTGCCCAGGAGGTCAGAGGGAGGCAGGGGAAGAGCCAGGGCAGCAGCTTCTCCATACAAGAAGACGCTGCTAGAAAGCTAACAGTGCCCCAAACTTAAAGATGTCCATTACGTCTCCCTGTTCACTTTCCTGCACGACACTCAGCCAGAGTTCTGCCATGGATGCAGTGAAGGCCTGAGAGTCAGGTCGCCTAAACTGGAATCCCAGACGCACCACCTCCTAGCACAGTGACCTCGCGTTCTCACTCCATTTTCCTGAGCCTCAGTTTCCCCTCAAGTGAGTTGAGGTGATGACTGAAGGTGATCAAAGCATATAAAATGTCTAGCGCTGTGACTGGAGTATAGTAGTTGCTCACTCAATGCTATTTTCACTAACTTTGTTTCACTGCTCCAAGAATCACTGACAAGACTGAGCAGAGCCGAGCAAGGCCAGTGCTGCCTACAGACCTGGAATGGAGCCCAAGGGCATCTCGGAGCACCAGGAGCTCCTGCAGCTGCTTCTGTTTTATCAGTGGCCTGCTCAAATGCCACTGCCTTAAAGGTCATGGCAAATGAGTTCCATCACCTGCCAGGAAAAGTGTCCCATTACCCTGAAGCAACGAGTGAAGGCCCCCACTATCTCCTGACATTACAGTAGCCTCCAAACCAGCCTCCTGGCCTTCACTGCTTCCCAAGCATCCTTGCGTCCTTGTCAGTTTACTTTCTGACCATGAGCATGTCACTACCTTGCATTTCTCCAGTGGCACCCCACTACACAGGGAAAGGTATGTCTACAAGTATGCCCATGGGGTCCCATGACCTGACCTCCCTTGTCCAGACTCATGGTCTGCCACCTGCACCGGATGTACCCTCTAAATATACCAGAGACCCCAGCTCAGTTCCTGCTCTTCACCGAGACTGGCAGACCTGCTTCCTCCCTCCTCCCACCCAAGCTTAATACCAAATCCAATGCCAGCTCATGAAGAAAAGGTGAACCACTAAATGTTAAAACCAGGAGGGTACTAACCCAAAACAACTCTCAGTAATGTTAAGTCACCAGGGTTGTGCACCAACACCATGCAAGTATTTTATATCCGTTTTTGCATTGAATCTTCCAACCAAGCCGAAAGGTCATTTTAAAGCATCATTTTAGCACTACCATAGCTCAAGTGGAAACCAGAGACTCAAAATATTTATTTAGCCCATTCAGAGCCTTAGTCCATCCCCAAAATGCCTAAATCCCTAATTTAACTTTGCAAATTGGTTTCATCCAAATGTGAATTTCATTAGCTGAAAAATCCCAAGATAAGCAGTTGTTTAAAAGATAAAATTCCATTTTTGCGATTTTCAAAAAAAAAATTAAATTCATGTCACGTTGCTCGGAGCCTCCGACCGCCTCTTTAAAAAATGTACCATGAACTCCACAATTTTTCAATTACTTTGGTCCAGACCGGCAGCGATAAAAATGCTCACTTTCTAAAAAGTATATTTATGTATCACTGTGCATACACACATGGATTTATTTGGTTTTATTCTCTGGATTTATTTGAATTCTACGGCTATTTATTTTGTGACCCCTAACTGCTTCCTGCTAGAACAACAATTTACTTTATCAAATTCATACTGGCGCTTTGAAAAGAAAGAACAGCAACACACCAGGCATTGTGCCTGACCTTCTCAAAGTAAACAGAGGCCCTGCAAGGCAATAACCATTAGCTCTTGAAGTTCTGTCTCTGCAGTGGTGCAAAGTGGTGCAGGGAGGCAGTGAGTAAATGTCCCGTCTTAGGAACGAGGGGACTAGGTCAGTGATCTTGGGATGGAGGCTGGGAGAGAAAGTCCCGCGCACCATCATTCCACCGCCGAAACATTTTGAAATGTGGCCAAGTTGGCTATGAAATGTAGCTGAGAAGCCAGCAGTATGATATTAATAGTCCACTTTTAAAGTTCCACACATCGTGATAAAAACATTCAGCTTGGTGTCGGAGCCCGGCCACCGCCTCTGTGGTGCCTGGGAGCCAAGGCGTTGCTAATAAACTCAGGAAGGGAACAGACCCCAAGTTCCTTACATTTGTGGTACACGCGCAGGCCCCCGGCTTCTATTTTTAATAGTGTTCACATGATAGGCCTGTAAAACATATGTTTCTAAGGACAATAAAACACATATAAAAGAGCTGTGGAGTTAGCCGGAACTAGGTTAATGATCTCAACCCTGCTCCCTACTACTTGAGCAAGTGATGTCACAGCTCCCAAATCTCCCTCTCATCGGCTTACTGGGAAGGATGAAATCTAGCTTTGGGGTTGCTGAGGTGGTAGTAAGTTACCGTAGTTATGCATTCATTATCTGACAATATTTATTGAGTCTGATTCATGCATACTAGGAACCAGCGAACAAAGATGACAGAATCCCTGTCCCCAAGAAGCTCACAATCAAGGAAGGGAAGACACAGAAAATTGAATAAAGTCAGTACAGGAAGTTGCTTTCGTTGAAAGAAACCAGGCAACAGCACTGAGTACTGTCAGCAAAGACCCCGGGCACACACTGTGGACACGCAGGAAATGTAGAAAGGAAGGAGGGGAAAGTCCCGCAGAGATGGCTAGGAAAAAAGATTGTCTCATCAGTCCCTATGCCATCTCCTAACCTGGGGGTCATCCAAGTGCCTTTTCTTCCTTCCTTGCCTCAGGCTTGGGCCTTTCCGGTTCCGATTATGTGGATGATGACCACAAAGAGACCAGAAGTTGGAGTTGAATATGTTCTGTTTATTTTCTTGAAAAGCGTGGAGATAGCATTTAGAAAACCCAATGGCTTTTTCTGTCTCCCCTACCAACTTGTGGTGTTATTGGGGGTGATGCCAGTCAAATCTTGACTTTGCTCCAGGAAGAGAATAACCTCAGATTCCCTTCAGTTGATGGGAATAAAGCATAAACATTTACCCCCATGGGGCAACTAGTCCTCAACATACAAAACACCATGGCTTGCCTCTCCAGGACAGAGAGGAGGCTGTTTTTGTTTTGTTTTGTTTTGTTTTCCCCAAGCAGTGTCTCCATCCCCAACACTGGCACCATCTTTATTATCAACCACTGTGGTCCCCCATTATTTTGTTTCAAGAATATCCCCAGCACCTGCTACTGGGAATCTAAGGGTGAAAACATCACAATATCTTTTTTAAGAGGTGCAAGGCATTGTAAGAAAGTAAACAAACAAACAAACAAACAAAAAAACTGCACTGAACTATTTCCAGTCTGCTGACTGAGTTTGATGGCTGTACTGGGCTCAGCCAGGGCATGGACTAAGTCCCCAGGGGGTGGGCAGCTTGAGCAGACCCTCATGTGAGCTGGAGATTCCTGGGGCCAAGGGCTAAGTATATTCATGAAAACCCCCAGGAGTGGAGGGATTCCAATAAGGCAGTCTCAGATGACCGATGGTCATGTGAGAAGGCAGTTTTATACTGCTGCACAGCTGGTCTACAGGGAGACCTCAGAAGGAAGAAAGAGAAAAACAGAAAAGAATACTGGTAACTGTAGCATTTACTACAATGATGATGTGCAAAGACTGGGTTGATGGTCCCCACATACACTGACAATCTGGCACTGACTGTGCTACTGGGCTGAAGCAGGTTGGACCCAACCTTCAAGGCTAATGGGAGAAACAGTCATTAAGAACTTACATGGTAAGTCACCCTCAGGTTCAAAGGGATTAAAGTGACTTACTAGTCACTATAAGTAAATGGTGGAGCTGGATGGCAATCAAATGATCTGATTCTTGGGTGCTTTCTTAGGTAAGTGAGTCACCCAAAAGAGAAGAAAGCCCCGAGAGTATAACTCAATTAATTGAAGCTCAGCAAAATCTTGTGGCCTTTGAAGAAAAAATTACTTTGTTAGGAACAGTCAAGTAACAGTGCTGGTTAATAATGTTCATTGAACTTTCAGGTGTACCACACACGTGCTCCTATCTAATTCAATGAAAACACTAAAGGGACTATTCTGGAATTTAGGTTTATCTATAATGAGAGGTACATTACAAGCTTTGCACAAAGCAGAACCAACAGCCATACACACACCCTCTCCCACTCTCTCTCTCTCTCTCATATGGCGAGCCTGTCCCCAGATTCAAACGTTTCTCCTTTTAATCAAGGATCAATTAACTTCCTATACCTCCAGGGACCTTTTGGGATGTGTAGGCTGCAGAGGAGGCGAAATACGAACTCACTGACAAACACTTAATGGGCAGAAAATCAAAGCATGAAGAAAGGCCTCTGTGTTGGGTTCAGGCCTTTGAAACTTCTTGGGCTTTGAAAAACTAACACTTGAGCAGGTTGGGCAGTTGGGGGTGGGTGTAAAAAAACACAGGATAAGTTTTCGTGGCCCACCCATTGATAAAGTCATGTGGGAAGTGTTAGCAAAGTGACCCAGCCCTAAAGCCTGCTCCTTCCAGCCACAGCTTCACATTTGCACAAAATTAAACACAGCCTCCTGCTTGCCAAATGATTTTTAGAAAGCCTTTGGTGAGAGGAGGAAAGAGTGGGGGTGAATAAGAGATCCTTGCACTTTTGCATCATGGTCATCAGAGCTTCAGAAGGGGCTTCCCCAGGTCCAAGTTCTTCAAGTGCATTTCCCAGAAATGCCCAACTGTCTGCTTCCCCTAATCTGTAATTACTTTAAAATAAGCAAAGTACAGTATCTGTGAGAGTAATAATTAAACTTATATCAAAAGAAAGCCAGCACATTTATCTACAGGAGAATACTGGGTATTATATGTACAGGTAGCCAGCAAAAGTTAGAGGTATGAAGCATAGCA